ATAAAGGGATTTGAGCTAACATTGAAAATGTTGAAAATGTTGAAAAAAAAAAAAAAAAAAAAAAAAAAAACTTCCCATAAAAGAAAAAATTAAAGAACAAAGAATTTGTAAGAAGTCTTTGAGGAAACTTAATAAATTTAATAAATATAGCATTCCCTGTTCTTTATATTATAAAAAATAGTATTCCTTTTAAACACTTGAATTGTCTTTTTGTGAAATGCAAATATTTCAAAATGGCTGACTAGAAGTTTGAAATAATAAAGATGTTTGTTGGTAAAATCTAAATAAACTATTGAGTATTCATCATGACATGTGCCAAGTTGTAGCTGAATATTAATCTCAGAGCTATTCCCACAAATACAAGAGACCAAAAAATTAAAATGTTAAAAAAAAAAAAAAAAAAAAAAAAAAAAAAAAAAAAAGAAGGCCAAAACCAAATTGAAGGTAAAAATCCCAGATGTAGAAATACAGTTGTGGGCAGATATCCAGGTAAAGAATGTTGAACTCTTCGTATTTGAAAGAGCCAAACTAGAAAGAGACAAGATTCTTGCCAAGCCTCAATACAAAGACTAAATGTGTATGTATATATATGTGTGTGTGTGTGGGGGGGGGGATAGGTGGATTAATAGAAGTGGGAAAATGACTTAATTGCCAACATGGAATGGTTACTTGTACTAATGACTAAAATAAACCAAATTCAGCCAGTCAGGTGAAATTAATAAAAAGCAACAAACATAAAACCAATACTCTAACAATATATCTAGGCTTCTTTGACATATTCATTAGGAGAATTTAAGTGAACATAGATACCACTGACCAAATCATTTGTCATTTCTATCTTTTTCTCCATAAAAATTAAAATTATTACAAGGAGGGATAATTATTTGTAATAAAAAAAACTTGTTAAGTACAGGAATATTTGTAAGAGTAATGACAATTGTACAATTTACAATAGCAGCTCATTTGCATCTTTATGATAATGTTAAAAATATTTAAGTGTCAGATAAGTTATGAATATTTCTTGGCTTTTAGAATTATTAGACTTTACCTTTAAATTGATTATTATTTTATCTTTAGCTTAATAATTTTCAGACATCATTAACTGTTATGTCTGTGGTAGTTTTATAATCTGGTATCATCCAGTTTCTCTACTGGCAAGAATGATTAATAAAAATTAATATATAATCTATTTTTTGTTTATTTTTCTTAAAAGATAAATTCTTTTTGCACATATTTTTAGCAGGTGTAAGTGCAAAGTGAAGTCAACCAAATTAGTGAAAAGAGATCCTAAAAGGTGGGGAAGAAAAGGAGTGAGGTTGAATAGCAGCAACAATAGCAACAACAACAACAACAACACCAACAACTATGATGTTGACAACAGCAGACAGACGATGACGAGGATGGAGTAGCTCAATAGCGACAAGACCAGCGGCGGCGGTGGCAACAGCAAACCATTAACGATAGAGAGCAAATACTGACCTGTTTGCCGACCCCTGGCAAACGGTGGACTGGTAAGCACATCCCAGCAAATGATGGCATAAGACACTGAGAAAAATACAGAAAGTTAGGCACCTGGCATCTGACTGGCCAAACAGTAGTAAACTGACTTACCAAAGAGAACTTAAATAAAATAAATATAAAAAAAGTGAAAAACCTAATGTTGCTGGCTCTGTATTCATGAGATTACCATAAGTAAAGAGCCTTTTTACTCATTTTTTTTCCTTATAAAATTTTTACAACCCTTTCTCTGGTCAAGTGACATGACTATTTTGACTCTGAATGGTCATTCTTTGTTAGTTCATGTTGTTTAAATAAAATAAAACTCTTCATAAAATTTAAGTAGAAAACATTAAAAGAACTACCAATTTTTCCCACTAAAATTTATAAGAAATATAATATAGTCCCCATCAAATTACTTTTCAAATTACTCATCATCAAATTGAAAATAAGAATCCTGATACTAAAACTAAAATCAAACAGAAAAAAATGTTAGGTTAGTGTAATGAAATTTCTCTCAAATATGAGTTCAGTCAAATCTAAATTTGTTTGTCTACAAAATATTTACAATATCTAACAAACATCTGCCTTGTTCTAATTTCTTCCTAAAAAACCAGTGTTATAACATCACCTACTGTTTGTTATGTAATAAATGGTACGATAAAGAAGTTAACTACAACTGATTGATATATTGAATTCTTCATCTTAAATATAGTTTGAATAATTTAAAATTTTAAAAAAATTTATTTTCAAATATATCAATCAAATTTCTGGCATGAATACATATACCAATATTACATATACACAACACAGTGAAAAAGATTAAATACAAAATTAGAAATATTTTTGTCTAAAATTAAAATTAGCCTAAATCATGTCACTTGATTGATGATTTATAAAAAGTAAACCAACTGAAATATAATAAAAAGAAAAAAAATCTAGCATAATAGTCATAAAATACCACAATTTACAAAAGTTAAAATGTTGCAATCTGTGGATCTTTAAAGAAAAAAAAAAAAAGAGAAAACATTTGAAAATAAAAGTTCTCTCCACAATGAGCAGAATAAATAAATTTGAGGAACATATATACATAGAAGGGAGGAAGAAAAAATGACAGGATGAAGGTGAGAATGGAGCTGATGCAGTGGAAACAGAGGAATGTTTAGGAAGCTTTTCTTTGGAAGTGAAAAAAAATTCTGGATATATGCCGATAGGAAGAGCTTAGATAAGCAAAAAACATATGCATGAAAATGGGGAAAGGAAAGGATGTGCCTTGTAAAGAGAAAGAACAGGACAAAGAATCCAAGTCAGGAAAAAGTGTAAAACAAAATCCTTTGCAACGAAAATCAGGCATTTCAGTACAAGAAATAATAGTTATATTCAACCAAGATGTCTGACATGAAGACAAAGAGTTTTTGGTGGGAGGAAGCAAAGGAAACTATATATTATCATTGAATTAACTCATTATCATTAAAAAGTGTTTTCAAAGTAAAACTTGAATGGGAGAAATGCTACTTAATATATCAAAGTAATCAATACCATTTCCATAATTTGAATCTTCTTCATCATTAGTTTCTATATAGTCATCATTTTATAAAAAATTTCCTTAAATAGAATTGCCCTAGTCATTAATTACTTTTGGAATTTTATAATATATCTGTACAAAAATATGCTTTATCTGACACAAATGGTCAGAGAACCACTGACAGGCTTACCAAAAGTGATATACTTGATAATTATTTTATAAATTATTACATGACATCTAAGTTGGAATTTCACTTCAGCTCTCAATGGGTACAGTTGAAAAAAATGTATAATACAACTGGATTTCTAATTACAGAAATAATTGGGATAGCACCTACAGATATCTTTCTCTGATTGATCACATGAACAATCTTTTTTAATCAAATCTCCAAAATCAAGATTGGATTTTCTTTTAAAATTTCTCCTATTAAAAATCTCTCAATAGCATTATTAATCATTTTATATAAATATTTTTGTAAAAATACTAAAATGTTCCAACTAAAGAATTAAAAATATGGAGAAAAAAATGAATCTAAATTGTCAAAGCATATACTCTCAATATTCTTCTCCAAAAGCAATTGCACAAACAATGCCATCATTTTAGATCTTATTTTCAAAAATTGTTTATCACTTAATTTTAAGATGCTTTTCAATAAAATTCAACCAACAATTAAAAGAAGCATTTTGATCTCTTAAAATTAAAAACCATTTCTTATAGTATTTAACTTTATTGTTAATAAAAACATCCAAATTATTGGTAATAATTTGTAAAATAGCAGACATGGTTAAAAGAACATCAACCACAGAAGTGAACAATGTCAATTTCTAGAGGAACTTTCACCAAATATATATGTTCAGAATTGTTCTCTGAATTCTTCAAGACATGCAATATGCTCTTCAGGAAATCTCTGCCAGAATACCAACAATATCGTTTTCACTATTCCTATTGATGGATACAAATCAATGGCTAAATCTTTTTTTGTTAACATTCTTCATATGTAAATATTTCATTGTTTTGTCATATCACCTGATTCTAAATTTTACAAAGATGAATGAAGATGTTGTTAATCAGAATATCTCAAATTCATTATTACAAATCACTTGTAACCATATAAATGCATGGAGAAAACCAATCTGTTCCTGAATGATTGTGAAAGGATGAATTGAAGAAAAGATCACTAAGAAAAATTAACTTTAGTTTTTATTCTACTTATTTCTGCAAACACAGTGGAAAGTTTTAAATTTATTTCTGTCAAGTCTAAAAATTAGATATAAATTTGATGTACAACTGGAGATTAAGACAAACATTGGCAAATGTCTGAACATGCTCATGAAATACAAACATCCAGGCTTCAAATGTTGATCCTGGTTATTTATATGTATGTCATTACATATCAAAACATACCTTGCTGTATTGTTATCACATTTAAAATATAACCGTTCTAATATATAAAAAAAGCAAATTAATATTTGTATGTGGAATAGATACAAAGAAATACCCAAGAATTTTATTTGAAGATGACTAGAAAAAGTGAATAGATGTGCCAATTATTTGTGCAGAAATGTTACATTTGATCACAGGCTCTAGGAGAGTGAAGATACAAACAGCAATAAGATCACCTTAATCATGAGAGGATCAATTTAGATGGCATGCAGATAAAGTGAAGAAGGAAAGTATATTTCATGACAGGGAATGAGTGAAAACATTTATCATCAGATAAACACAAAAATGTTTAAAAAAAAAAAAAAAAAAAAACAAATTTCATGAGTCTTTTTTTTTTTTTTAAAAGTAAAGACAAGAAAATACTCAGAAATTTAAATATTAGAAAACAAATTAAAAAATGATATCCAAATAGTTAAAGCAAAATAATATGTATCATGCAAATAATAACAGAGCAAGAATTCTCCCAGGCAATGTTGGATGATCCTGCCAGCACAATAATATTGATAATAATGAAAAATGATACACATGGACATACCGAAGGCAACCTGCGCAAGCTACTGGATGTGGATTGTGAGGAGAAGGATCCTGTGGGGCTACGACCGCGGTAACTGGACTGAAAAAACATGAACAAGCAACAACAACAGTAAACAACCATGCAGACAATCAGGGGCTGGTAGCAGTGGTCTTTCCAGCTAACAATGTTGGGCTTGTAGCAGAGGCTGAGAAAAATCCCCCCCCTGTTTTCTTATCCTCCTTAGTTGACTGCAGAAATTTAGGGAATTGGTTGAAAGGAGTCCAGTAGCTAGTTATTTTGCTTGGATTAATTTTTGACACACGACCAAATATGGAGATCCTAATGAGGATTGAACTCACTACAATCCAAATAAATAAATGGTTAATCAAGTTATCAAGCTAATATAGTCTTTTTACTAAACATTCAAAAGTTAAAATATACTGCTTACAACTATTTTTGTTAGGATTTTTTTTTGTTTATTTTTAAACAATCACTTATTATTTTTATGTAGTCCTTAAAAGGACTTCAAGTTAGTTTATACTTATTACTTAAAAAAAAATAATAAAACTGAATTAGTAGTGCTTATTTTTAAGCCTTTTAGAGGTACAATATTTCTTTTTAATCCACAATACAATTGTTTCATTCTTTAACAAATAATTAATACTAGAGAGAGAGAGAGTAAGGAGGTCTTTCTATCATTTTACAAAACTTGTCTATTGGAATTCTCATGAAAATGATATGAGAGTTGAAGATAACAGTTACTTTTATTTCCCCAAACTTGATACAAATGCAACAAAAACTTGTATAATTCTCGACATTCAAATAACATATAATAAAAGTCAGTTCAGGTTAAAGAGGACAAATTTTTTTCTACTTGAATAACGAAGTATTCATCCTAATTATTTTAATACTAATAATAGACGAGGAAGGAGTTTGGTAAATTTAAGAAAAATAAATGAGCAATCAATTCAGTGTTGTTGAAAGAGAAAGAGTAGAATCGGTGAACAAGTTTATTATCATTTTTTAATTAATTTTTTAACATAAATAAACTGTTATTAGAACAAGATATATTCATTAATATATGGTGAAACGATTTTTCTTCTTTCTAATTTAAAATATCCCCCAAAGTACCTAAGTAAAATACCAAATCATACAAAATGTACCACTGACCTTTTGACTTATAATAGACAAACAGGCTGACTTAAAGGCTGATATGTACATTTCCCAACTATGCCAATGGTAGGTGTTCAAATCTTGGTAAAGGTTAAAAAGTGCTGATTTTCGAGGCAAACAGGTCTCTCCTACTTGGATTGCTGCACATTTTACCTTGTATCAGATTAAGCTTAATTTTAATAAATGTTATTTTTTTTATATGTGGTGTTCCTTCAAAATGTGGGCAATCACGGCTTGGCACAACTTTCTTGGTTTGTTAGGTCGACCTATTGTCTAGTTCACACTTCTCCCCAGTCTTTTGAATAGAAGTAGATGTTTATCCCCTGTTCCTTGTTTAGGATTGTTTCTAATCCTTTCTAAAGTTTTTTTCATTCCCTTTCCCTCCCAGTAGCCACTTGTAACTTAATGGCATTATTGCCTTGCATGTGGCGAATTGATTGGGAAAAAAAAAGTATCTTTTGACTTTTTACATCTCTTTTTCACTGTTCTACTATCCATTTGCTCAAACTCATTAAGTAGGTTTCCACTTGTTTGTTGTCACCAATACCTCCTGTGCATGTTAGACTTTTCAGGCACTCTTTCCTCATTATGTGTTGCAGAAATTTCAGTTGTCGCTTTCTGATTGTAATTATATTTTATATATCCATTTAGTTTCTATTTTTCTCATTGTGCACATATTCTGATTCATATACTGAATGTCTAAATGCAACTGGGGAATTTTTTCTCACAAGCCAAATTTAAAAGTTTTTTTATTTTTTTAGCTATTGTAATGATTGTTGGCAATAAAAATAAATATGGTAACTATATATATATATATATATATATATATATATATATATAATATTTCATTGTGGAAGAAAGAACCATTTGCAAAACCATATGTATCGAGACATTCAATATATGAATCTATCAATAATATCCATCAAATTACTGTGAGGCATACAAAAATAGTAACATCTTTACTACAAAGAAAGTAATGAGAGTTAATGAGAGTAAAGTTACCATTTATCATATTTTATAGATTTATTTACAAAGTTTAATTTCATATTCTACTTGTAAATTGTACATCTGCTTTATGTCTCATTTGTAGGTTGTAATAAATTGTGAGAAGAAAAAAACTCAGTTTCCTATCAAGAATAAAAAAAAATTTTATAACCTTTTTTCTTAAATGAATAATTGCACATTTTAAAAATGTTGGATTAAATATTGTATTACAACATATTCTTGTACATCTGGTATGTAGACAAAAATACAGGAATTAAAATAGAAAAGAAGACTAAACCAATTTGCAGGAGTTAAAGTATTTCAGGTACAAAGTTTAACATTTCCAGCATACACTTTCTTAAAAAAAAAAAAAAAAAAAAAAAACTTTTACTCTATAGCAAACAAATTTTGTTTAGAAAATTCATTAAAACATTAATTAAAATATTTTTATGCATATGTACTTTTAAAGCATTTCTGTTGACATATTGCACCAACATTTATATTTTATGCAATTTCCTACTCTATAGGGCTTGTTAAGCTGCCCCGCCCTTATACCCCCCACCCCGGGCAAAGATTCCATATCAACTATGCATCTCTTTTCTATTATGGCAATTTAACTCTTTTCCTGATTTACTGAAGAATATAAATGAAATCATGCAAAAGATCAACTGAAATTGCCGAATTAAGTGTGTGTGTATGTGTACATATGCACATACACACAAAAATGTCTTACACAGATATTAATTTAAATCTGGTACAAAGTTACAAGTTCACAGTGAAGTTTTAACTATGTAAAAATTGCAAAGCCAGTAAGTTTTATTTATAAGTTGGTGTTCTAATTTTATTGATGTAATTGAAGCTGATAATTGAGAATAAAGTCAAACTATTTTAGCTGGAATAAACAACACTCAGGTATTAATTCCTTCTACTTTTGATTAAAATTTTAAACCTGTTTAAATAATCAACAAAGAACTACAGATTATAGGAAGCAATCTATTTATAACAACAAATACAGCTGATAATAAAGATATAGTAATTGATGAAATTATATTCTTAAAGATAAAAAAATAGACAATTTTCTCATAAAATCTACAACTTATATTCAGCATTCTATTGGTAACTACAGTTGAGGTCTGCCCTATAACTTAGTTCTCTTAAATATTAAGTGGTTGCATTAAATGCAAACTTCAAAATTTGTATTTTCAATAATTCTAGTTTAATTAATTGTAATTACTTGCAATCAAATTTTTTTTTTTATTAATCAAGCTTCACTTTAAAGTATTGCTTTTTTGCCATTTTCTATCATGATTATATCTGGTTACATTCCCTTGTTCCTTTTAACACTACCAATGAAACCCCAATCAGTCATATTAGGTAATTAACCTAGAAATAGAATTAGATTTATTAAACTGTTTCAGAGAATGAAATAAAGAACATGTTGGTTTTTGGTAGTAACAAATTAAAATGAAAAAGGTATATTCCATATTATATGCATGTATCATTTACAATATGCTAATCTCAAATGAAATATTTTTGGTTGTCATTATTTATACTATTTTTAATGGTACTTGTACTCAATCCTAACATTCTATCTATAAAAGATAGGCACAGTATCCTATTTACATAAGATTCTATAATCATATTACTTCTCATAATGGAATTTAGAACAGGTCCCTTAACAGTTGATAAATATAGAAAGATAAATGCAATCCAAAAATGCCTGCATTTAGTTGCAGAGGACAAAGGCTTAATATATATAACAAGGTAACAATATAACTTTTGTTGTCCTAAACTGTGACAATAAAATGGATTCAAAACACAAATAGCTTTTTAATATTAACGTGATATTGTTTGACATGTAGAATTTTACTTTTACAATTCTAGCATGAAATTCTGCCTGAGGGTTGTTTAAGAAATAGTTATAACAGTGAAAGCATTTTGAGAACAGCAAAAAGCCTGGTTAGAAGATTGTGAGCAGTTCCAATATAGAGATTGAAAACTAACTAACCAGTTAAGATGGCACTTTTTTAACCAGAAATAAAATAAGTTGAATGGAATTTTCTTTATGTCGGTCTAAACTTTGGTTAGATATTTCCCCTTAATTTAATAATAGACTAAAAAATAAAATACAAAAAATTATTAATTTTTCAATTATTATATAATTAAATTAGGAGAGATTAAATTCTTTAAAACCTTATTTTTTATAAATTTACTACCACATATGAGGAAATAAAATATCAAAGTCTTTAAAAAAATACAACAGAACCAAGGTATAGTCATTGCAGATTTCTTACATTGAGTTTATTGCAGACCTTAGTGAATTTTTTTAGTCAAGTGGAGAGAACAATTCTCATAATATTTTGAATAGTTGAGTCATTTTGTAGTCTAATCTTGATTGGATAAAATCAGTGTGATGACTTGAGTAGCTTTCTAGGGTGGAAACATTTTGTGCAATCATCTGATTGGCCATTTCTCAATAACGATTTAAGTAGGTGAGATCACAAAGGCTTTAAATTGAGAAATTTAAACTTTCATTGAATTCTGAAAATAGGTATGGTCATTTGAAAAATGTACAGAACACATTGCTTTTAGCAACCAATGGGTATTTTGAGAGAGAGAGGGAGGGATGGAGGTTGAGAGAGAGAGAGTGTTATGCATGATTCTAAAAATGCTGCTCTTGACAGATTAGGTCTAAAACAAAAATACAAGAAAAATTGTCTGAAAGTAATAGACACTTCAACTAAAAAAATTACTGAATTATTTTAGCTACAAGTATTAATGTGTTTTAATAACAGAACTGCTAGCATTAAATATATATGGAGAGATGAAGATAGTAAACCATTAGTTATGATGATGACAATAATAATAATACCTGATTTTATAGCAATTTGGCACTAGAGTTGTTTATAGTAATAACAATGATGATGTACTGTAAAGTAAAT